GCGGAACGAATGAATCCAATAACACACAGTTCAAGTTCCAAATACAAAGTTCTTTATTCAAATGTTTATATGTTCAAGTTTCGACCTAACTGATCTACACTGTACTATTTACTTCTACTACTGACTCTTCATACCACATGCTACCTACTACTACGCACTCCCATGACCAATCCTAACACTAACTGTTCTCTACATTCTACAACCTAACACCTTCTCTCCTCGCTATCTACCTATCAACTGCTGGCCTATCTCTCTACTGACCCACGCCTCAGTGGTCAGCTGACCGTCCCACGTGACCGGTCAGTCCTGTGCGCCCCTTGGTCTCTCTAACCAACCAACTAGGCCTATAGTCTGTTTCTGCTAACCTATATCTGCTAAACATGTCTGACGTAATCTTGCGTCATCACATATCTCCCTCCCTTTCTGTAGCTGACAAATTATATTTTTCAGCGTCTGCTACTAATCTAATACATCAACAACTATCTATCTTACTACTCTATTCTATCCCTAACATCAATCATGTAAATCAAATACAAAATGGGACAGCACAGTTTACAAAAACATAAAATCTTCTGTCTGTGTTCTTGGAAAGGAATGTCATTGTTCCAGTTCTTGTACGGTATCCTGACGTCTGTGGTGTCTCTGCTTGATAATGTATGTCTATGTTATGTTATGTGTGAATTCAATCATGTGTAACTCAGTTCTGGCTAGGTTGTCGTGTACTGGCCTTGAGCTAATCTTAGTAGAATGTGTAACTGGTTGAACGGGCTCAACGAGCAGTGTAAGTGTGTGTGTGTGTAAGTGTTATGTACTTATTGGCGTTTATCTGTGGTGGGTGGGTTGTGGCGTTGGTCTACGTAAGTTCCCGTGAGGCGGTGTAGGCGTAACTTTCGTTGGTCAATGTGATGACGCAACAATCTCATCTCAACGCTGGTTGAGACGTCCACGTAGAGTGGTTATACGATGAACTGGAGCTGTCTGATGCGTGGCGAACAATGACGTAACATTCCGACGCTGGGAACTTGGACGACGGGTCTTCTACCCTTTGTATCTGCCGACGAGGGTGTACGTAGCTGGCGGTCTGTTATTCAACCCCAGTGCGGGTGTGGAGCGGTGGCGATGCGTCCGCTGTCTTGACCAGGGCAATTCTCTGTTAAGCAGGGCTGTTCGCTGTCCAGGTAATTCAACGTAATCAGGGCTTCAGGTGGCGGCATTCTTTGAAGTGTCTGCTTCATCTCGTCTCATTCTGAATAAGCGTAGTGGGTCTGAAATTGTATTACGAGACCATGAGCAATGGTTTTACGTGACCATCTTAGTGCCCGCGCAGACAAGTATTCAGACAGAGGTACCTTCCATTAAAAAAAACCTCAATCCCAAATTTATACGTGCTGAACACTTGTCTGGCGGCATAACAAACATTAAAAAAAATAACATTACAACATAACTAAATAAAAAACCAGTAGACTCTAATCTAACAACAATCTGTAAAGCCTATAATAAACACAATAGACGTAAACACTACTAGAGCATAGAAATAGCTTCACAAAAAGAATAGACATGTAAGTGTATATCAATACTATAGTGCCGTTTCAAATCAACATTTGAATGCGTAATCATATAGTGGAGCAGCTCTCACTATCTGACTTCTGACTTGACCTAAACTGGCTGGTTGACTTATTTCACTTTAACTGACTTCAGTAACTTCACCTATTTCACTTTGACTTCAGTAACTTGACTGACTTCAATTTAACGACTGATTCCACTTTGACGACTTCAATTACTTCAACTTGACGACTAACTTCACTTTGAAGACTAACTTGACCTCGACGACTTCAACTTCAATACAACTTAAAAGACTTCACTGACTGACTTAAACTTCGACGACTTAAACGTCTTCACTTTGACTTCAAAGACTTTTCCTTGACTTCAACTACTTCAATATGACTTCAAAGACTTCACTTTGACTTCAACGACTTCAATATGACTTCAAATAATTCACTTTGACTTCAACAACTTCAATATGACTTCAAAGATTTCACTTTGACTTCAGCAACTTCAATATGACTTCAAAGACTTCACTTTGACTTCAACAACTTCAATATGACTTCAAAGACTTCACTTTGACTTCAAAGATTTCAACGACATCACTTTGATTTCAAAGACTTCACTATAACTTCGACGATTTCACTTCTTCACTATGACCTCAACGACTTTAATATAACTTCAAAGACTTTTCTTTGACTGCAACATGACTTCAACTACGTCACTATGACCTCAACTACGACTTCAATAACTTATTGACTGACTTAACTGACTTCAAATAACTTCTTTGACTTCAGTTCTGACTTATACTTCACTGACTTCAATAACACAATTGACTTCAGATTTGACTACACTGACTTCTGACTGTACGACTTCACGTCGATTTCCTCGACTACTTAGATCAACACAAAAACTCGACTTGACTTCACTTTTGTCCGTTGTTCAAAATCATTTGTGGGGGCGGTCCGGGTCAAATTCCTGGTCATGGGGTTGATGTTCTTGGGCAGTTGCGTGTTATCTATGTGTTGTACTTTCCGTTTCACTAATTCTAATGCTAACTCTGCTTTTGTTCTTGACATGTTTTACTATCTTGACTATCTTGTTTTCTAACTTATTCTCTACAAATGTTTCAACTTCTTCTCCTGTTTTGTCTAATGGTATGCCCTGTTTATAGCATTGAAACTCTGCCTCCATGGTTGTGTATGTGTGTTTGTGTTGAGGAAAGTAAACAAAACTAATGCAACAGGGCGTAACATAAGAATGTGTAAGGCAGAAAAACCGCTGGCACAAACTATCCAGCACGGCTCTAAACCCAAACGTTTAAAAAAATTTTGGAAGGTACTTATCTTTTTGGACATGTTGACTGTTTCCTTGTGTTGTTAATCCAAACTCGTTCCGGTTGAAGAAACCCGCTGTTGTGTTGAGTTGAAGAAAGCTGTACACCAGTCGTACTCCGTCATGAATAGCTGATATACGTTCTTTCCCTCACTCGACCCGCGCTCCACCAGTTGTGAGGGTGGGGATTTTTTACGAAAGGCGGAACGAATGAATCCAATAACACACAGTTCAAGTTCCAAATACAAAGTTCTTTATTCAAATGTTTATATGTTCAAGTTTCTACCTAACTGATCTACACTGTACTATTTACTTCTACTACTGACTGTTCATACCACATGCTACCTACTACTACGCACTCCCATGACCAATCCTAACACTAACTGTTCTCTACATTCTACAACCTAACACCTTCTCTCCTCGCTATCTACCTATCAACTGCTGGCCTATCTCTCTACTGACCCACGCCTCAGTGGTCAGCTGACCGTCCCACGTGACCGGTCAGTCCTGTGCGCCCCTTGGTCTCTCTAACCAACCAACTAGGCCTATAGTCTGTTTCTGCTAACCTATATCTGCTAAACATGTCTGACGTAATCTTGCGTCATCACACTACCTCACTACCAAACTTTCAACATTAACTCCCTCACTACCCAAACTTTCAACATTAACTCCCTCACTACCCAAACTTTCAACATTAACTACCTCACTACCAAACTTTCAACATTAACTCCCTCACTACCCAAACTTTCAACATTAACTCCCTCACTACCCAAACTTTCAACATTAACTACCTCACTACCAAACTTTCAACATTAACTCCCTCACTACCCAAACTTTCAACATTAACTACCTCACTACCAAACTTTCAACATTAACTCCCTCACTACCAAACTTTCAACATTAACTCCCTCACTACCCAAACTTTCAACATTAACTCCCTCACTACCAAACTTTCAACATTAACTCCCTCACTACCCAAACTTTCAACATTAACTCCCTCACTACCAAACTTTCAACATTAACTCCCTCACTACCAAACTTTCAACATTAACTCCCTCACTATCCAAACTCTCAACATTAACTCCCTCACTATCCAAACTCTCAACATTAACTACCTCACTATCCAAACTCTCAACATTAACTACCTCAGTACCAAACGTTCGAGAAGGAAGATAACCCAAAAGGGAGCGAACTCTATTGACTAGAGACAGGCCCCGATAGAGATTGTGTTACTTAGACATGGCGACACAAAGCCTGACAGAGTAGTCAGGAAACACTGACACAGGTTGAGAGAGTAGGAAACAAACTGTGCTGCCCATAACTGTCAGGCAGTTGATGCCACCCACTCCGTCACTGACAAATTGCACCATAAAATAAATGATGACGTCAGCAGTTTGCTGAAGTAAAAAATGTTTTGATTTGAGATCAATTTTTATTCAGCTTCCCAAACCCACGACATAAACTGTTTTATGTAGCCTTTCTCGCTTTTACCGCCATTTTAGAACCGTTTGAGTGGTTCGTTATGTTGGCACACGATTGGCTGGGGCATAACGTTATGTTCAGGCTGACATACATACATTATGCCCGGCTAACATACAAGCATTATATGAGGGGGGAGGGGCAACAACAGGATGTGTTAAGCTACGTGACGGTTGACATGGAATGGTTGGGTTTCTATTAGGGTTGGCATGGAATAGTTGGGTGTATGTGAGGGTTGGCATGGAATGGTTGGATGTATGCGAGGGTTGGCATGGAATAGTTGGGTGTATGCGAGGGTTGGCATGGAATGGTTGGATGTATGCGAGGGTCGGCATGGAATGGTTGGGTGTATGTGAGGGTTGGCATGGAATGGTTGGATGTATGTGAGGGTTGGCATGGAATAGTTGGGTGTATGTGAGGGTTGGCATGGAATGGTTGGGTGTATGTGAGGGTTGGCATGGAATGGTTGGATGTATGCGAGGGTTGGCATGGAATAGTTGGGTGTATGTGAAGGTTGGCATGATTAGGTTGGGGTATCTGTAAAATGAGGGTTGAAGTACAACAGGTTGGGATGGTTGCTAAAGTGCAGGAATATTTGAAATTTAGGTTATATAAATCTTTGAAAAAAAAACACATAAACTTACTGGCAGGGGTCAAGGCCGTCTGCCCAAGGTCACTACTGACAGATGCGCTGCTGCGGGGAATGCGACCTGTGAAGGAAAGGTAACATTTAATTATTTGGATATTTTGTTACATGTTTCCTGATTGGTTAAATGTTTTGTTAAAAGTTTCCTGATTGGTTATATGTTTTGTTATGAGATCTTTAAATGATTGACTGCATTTGTGGTTGTTATAGACAGCAGAGATTACTGTCCTGTTTTTTCTGTGTAGTAAAAGTCAGTCAGTCTCTGTCTAGTTGGCTGGTAACTATGAAGTCATTGGCTAGTTATTTGTTAAATCAAATCGTTTGTTTGTTGGTAGCTTATGCAGTATATTATTTACTGGATACATTGGTTCGTTAGTTAGTGATGAGTTGGTGACGTCAGTTAGTGATTAGTTGGTGACGTCAGTGAGTGATGAGTTGGTGACGTCAGTTAGTGATCAGTTGGTGACGTCAGTTAGTGATCAGTTGGTGACGTCAGTTAGTGATTAGTTGGTGACGTCAGTTAGTGATTAGTTAAGTTGTCAGAATGAAATAAATGTAATTTAATTAACTATAAAGAATCTAATTAAGTAAAATCGATTAGCATTAAAATATTTTAAACCCACGTCATATTTCCAAATGAATTTTCTTTAAAAAATTTAAATTTTGATAAAATATCTTCCATTTTTTTTAGATTATTGATTTAACTTTTTATAAATTTTATCCAGGAGAGGAATAATGGACAAGAGCAAAAGTACATCATTGGGTTGTAGTTGGATGTATGACAACCGATGTCTGATGTATGACAACCGATGTCTGATGTATGATAACCGATGTCTGATGTATGATAACCGATGTCTGATGTATGACAACCGATGTCTGATGTATGACAAGCGATGTCTGATGCCTAACATCATATCTGATATTTGAAATATGTCTGATAACTATTATCTAACATATAATGACTGATGTTTGACTTTTAATGAATGACAAATGATTTGTCTGATGTATGAAGTATGATGTCTGATGTCTGATGTATGAAGTTTGATGTCTATATCCAATGTTTGACTTTTGATGTATGAAATCTGATGTTTGACAAAAAATGTCTGAATTTTTAATTTTGATGTATGACATGTAATGTGTGATGTTTCACACATTATGATATGCAATGTTTTTCTTATATTTTAAATCGTGTTAAAAGATTGGTGTGGGTATAATCAAGTGACCAGCTTGGTCTACATCAGATGAGTGTTATGTAGATGTTAAGGTGCATTGTATGTGACTTGTGAGCTTTTATCCTGAGCCGTATGCATTTTTTAGTGGATATTATGGTTAATTTTGGAGTTTAATGTAAACTTTATACGAGTTTTTAGTAGAGATTGTGGGTTAATTTTTGAGCTTACTGTAAGATTTATACGAGTTTGTGGTAGGTTCTAAATGTAATTTTTAGCTTGTTGTTGTAGGTTTGTGTCAGAGTTTAAAAATCTGCTGTGAGCAGCCACCTACTTGTTTTTAACCGCTTGGTGTTGTAGGTTTGTGTTAGAATTTAAAAATCTGCTGTGAGCAGCCACCTACTTGTTTTTAACCGCTTGGTGTTGTAGGTTTATGTTAGAGTTTTAAAATCTGCTGTGAGCAGCCACCTACTTGTTTTTAACCGCTTGGTGTTTTAGGTTTGTGTTAGAATTTAAAAATCTGCTGTGAGCAGCCACCTACTTGTTTTTAACCGCTTGTTGTTGTAGGTTTATGTTAGAGTTTTAAAATCTGCTGTGAGCAGCCACCTACTTGTTTTTAACCGCTTGGTGTTTTAGGTTTGTGTTAGAATTTAAAAATCTGCTGTGAGCAGCCACCTACTTGTTTTTAACCGCTTGTTGTTGTAGGTTTATGTTAGAGTTTTAAAATCTGCTGTGAGCAGCCACCTACTTGTTTTTAACCGCTTGGTGAAGACGAGGAAAAAATCCGGGTCTGACGAGTCCAGGAAATAGAGCTCCCCCAGGGACTCTGGGATCTGGCAGTCCTCCAACAAAACTCCCATGATCCTCTGGTTGTGCAGGCTCATCTGGGTCAGCTGCTTCAGAGTTTTCTCGAAGGAGAACCAGGTCTCCTCCACGTACCTGTGGCTGAGTACCAGCACCACACGCTCGCTCAGCATGGCCGCACACAGGATACGCTGCTGGAGGGTGCTCGGGTCCGCCTCGTCCTGGGCGGAGGCGTAGGCGCAGGTGTAGTTAAAGGGCGGCGCCTCGAGGTGGGAGACCATGTGCTCCACCCACTCCCTGTCCTCGGGGCAGTGGGAGAAGAAGACGTGATACCTGTAGAGGTCCTGGATGGGCGGGGCCGACACGGTGTCCTGGTGCTGGAGATACGCCCCTTCCTGTCTGGACAGCAGCCGGATCTCTTCCGGTTGAACGTGACCGTTGGCCAGTCCCGAGCCGTAGTCCGCGTCGTGGTAATGCTGGTGGTAGCTGGTGTAGCCGGTGGTGCACATGTCGGGGTAGCCGCCCGAGTCCTTGATGTACGGGTGGTTGTTGTTGTTGTGGGTGAGGAAGTCGTTGAGCTGGTAGTTCTCCTCCCCCGCGCTCTCCAGGGTCGGGCTGTCGCAGGTGAAGGGGATGAACGACTGCTGGGAGTTGGAGATGCAGATGGTCACTTTAGGATGGCCGGCGTCCAGCTGAGTCTGAACCCGGGAGGAGTTGGTGTAGTCGTCGGAGTAGGCGTCCATGTTGCCATGGTTACCGGGCAGGTTCAGGTAACCTGCGGAATGGTCGATGTGGGGCGTGGTGTAGTGTGGAATGGTGGCGTGGGGTGGGCAGGTATCGGGGCTGCCGGCGTAGGTCGTGTTGACTGAAGGAACGTTGGGGGAGTAACTGTTGCGCATGTGGCTTTCTGGCGTCTCAAATGGAATCGAACCCGACCCGCCGTGTCCTGGGTCTGGGTGACCAACCCCCGTGGAAGACGAGTCGAGGGTGTCAGCGAAGTGAGAAAAACAATCGGCCGGGGGCGGGAGTTCCGGCTCGCCACAGATGCATGACGGTCGTTTACTGGAGAGGGCGGGTGGGGCCACGTCGAAGGGCAGCTCGATGTTGTTGTTGGCGGCGGCGTCGGCCGACTCGTCGAACGTCAGCCGGAACCTCATGGCGGAGCTGGCGTGCGACAGGCCCAGGTCCTTCATCTTCATGCGGCCCGTGGAGGGGCTACTGCTGTACGAGGTGGACAGGCTCCCCCTCCACCGGTCCGTGTCGTCACCGCTGACGTTACCCGCCAGAGAGCCGCCGCTGTCCGTACGACTGAAATCCTCGTCCGCTCCTATCACCACCAGCGGCGGCGCCGGGCCCGGTCCGGCGTGGGGCACCCTGGAGAAGGAACAGTTGCTGGGGCGCCGGTTGGCGTTCAGGCTGGGGTCCCAGGGGTCGGGGTTCGCCATGTTTTGTTCGCCCGCTTGGCGACCACTGTCTTGGCGACCAGTATCACCGAATTTGATGTCTGAAAAATAGAAAGAGAAATCAGCAATGTACATCAGCATTTACAAGTGACCCACCCTAAACAAAATATTTTTAGATCACTCACACAACACAGAGGTCAGTACATCTGAACTATGTACTCGGTTAGCTGACAAACCACACCAACTAAAGGTAGAAAAAAACCCACAAGCAATAGAATTAAGAGGTCTTCTAATTCTCTGCGAGTCCCCACTGACCCACACCATTTCCGGTCTGCCGGTCTGCCGGTCGACTCCCGTGTTCCCAATCTACCCGGCATGCCTTGGGAATCCAGGATAAACCAACACAGAGCTATTTTTAGCAGTGGAGGGGTGAGCAAGAAAAGTTAAAAATAAAACAAGGCCGCGTTTAACTCGTACGGATCTTATCGGCCCCCATCTATAAATAAACACCGGGAATCTCCGAAAATAAAGGATTAAATCAAGTCAACGTTTTAACAGATATCTGTATTGTATCTGTTTATCTGTGAAATCTGATGATGCATCTAGTTGCAAGAAAATTGTTGCAAGTTGCTCAAGAGAACTGGTTAAATGGAGACATGGGGAGGGTGGGGTAGGTTTGAGTGTGGACATGGGGAGGGTGGGGTAGGTTTGAGTGTGGACATGGGGAGGGTGGGGTAGGTTTGTGGAAATGGTGTGGGTGGTTTATGTGGCTTAGTGCAGCTGATAAAATAACAGGCTAAGTGTGCAGTGTTTCTTCCAGACATTTTTCTCCGGGGTGCACTTGAAATTTTCGGGGGGGGGGGGGGGACGACACTGTCAAAAGTATATACTTTCTTTATAACTCTGTAAGTGTGTCTGGACGTCACTCGACAGAAATTAAGACAGATACACGAGTTGTCAATGGCCCTATCAAATCAAGTGTACTCAATTTGTGATAAAACACTAGTTCGTTGTGTCACTCCATATTGTTTCTGTCTGACATAGATTACTGACAAAACATTTGCGAGTACAGTGTGAACCATTTCATACTCGCTTATAAATGTATACAAAATGTCAATGCGTCCCGTTAAATATATAGTACTGGAAGGGTTAAAGTGATAATAATTAAATTTAATTAATACATGGTAGGTCCACCTTAAAGTGTTAAAACGATGACTGAGAAATATCGTTGTTGTAGTTCGATTTCTTACATGAAATGTTGTGTCGCTATTTTAGCTTTCGAATAGATAGGAGGATGAGGGGTGGGGGGTTATTAAAATGGATAGGGGGTGGGGGGAATGGGGTGCTGATGTCCGGGTGGGGGAAACTAAAAAATTTCCAACCGCTAGGTGGCGTTGTAAAAACCGTTATTAAAAAAAAATAACGACTAAATACAAGTGTACTGGTCAGTTTACTTGAAACGCTACATTTTTTTAACATAAAGGCTAAATGTAATACCTGCTATAAATGTTGGGTGACATTCAATGACATTTAATGACATTCAATGGCGGAATTTAATTCTATAGCGGCTCACATGACATGATAAATAAATGTTTTTTATTTCATATCTTTCACGTGATATCCCCCCCCCCCTTTTTTTTTTCTTGGTTAGAGACTCGCCAGACCACTGAAAAAGCTTTCAACTCCTCACCATTTTGTAGACGGCAGGACATTAACCACATCACTAAGCTTAGAAATTTTCTAATCAAATATGCTACGTCACATCATAAAGCCGACGTTAGGATTTATTTATAGCCAAACAGACATTTAATGAATAACTGTAATCTCGAGAATTCAATTTATTTCAGGTAATTTTTCACGGTTTTTTTCATAGCTTGGACCGCCTCATTCAGGTCTATTTTTAGCCCTGCGGCATCAGCGCCCTCTTGTGATAAAATAAAAGTTGAGGGCAAAAATGTGAGAGTGTTATTGTTAATATTGTGAGCAGTTTTTATAAAGTTGACTTATTGGTCCTAAGTTTCTCGCTATAATTATCATGACTGATTGGTCGTAATTCTCCCTATAATTAAATATGACTTATTGGTCATAAGTCACAAGCTATCAATAAACCTGACTTCTACATTGTTAGCCAAATGCTATCAATTAATATGAATTATTCGTCGTACGTTATACCCTATTCTACGACTTTGATATGTCAGATATATGACAGACGACTTTTATGCTGATTATGACCGATGACTTAAACCAACCAAAAGTTAAGTGAAATGTATAAAATTCCTACAATAGTAGCAGAGATTAGTGTCCTAGTGGCAGAAATTAATATCCTACAATAGTGGCAGAAATTAGTGTCCTAGTGGCAGAAATTAGTGTCCTAGTGGCAGAGATTAGTGTCCTAGTGGCAGAAATTAGTGTCCTAGTGGCAGAAATTAATATCCTACAATAGTGGCAGAAATTAGTGTCCTAAAGGCAGAAATTAATATCCTACAATTGTGGCAGAGATTAGTGTCCTACAATTGTGGCAGAGATTAGTGTCCTAGTGATAGAAATTAGTGTCCTACAATTGTGGCAGAAATTAATGTCCTAGTGGCAGAAATTAGTGTCCCACAATTGTGGCAGAAATTAGTGTCCTACAATTGTGGCAGAAATTAGTGTCCTACAATAGTGGCAGAAATTAGTGTCCTAGTGGCAAAAATTAATATCCTACAATAGTGGCAGAAATTAGTGTCCTAAAGGCAGAAATTAATATCCTACAATTGTGGCAGAGATTAGTGTCCTACAATTGTGGCAGAGATTAGTGTCCTAGTGATAGAAATTAGTGTCCTACAATTGTGGCAGAAATTAATGTCCTAGTGGCAGAAATTAGTGTCCTACAATTGTGGCAGAAATTAGTGTCCTAGTGGCAGAAATTAATATCCTACAATTGTGGCAGAAATTAGTGTCCTACAATTGTGGCACAAATTAGTGTCCTACAATAGTGGCAGAAATTAATGTCCTAGTGGCAGAAATTAGTGTCCTACAATTGTGGCAGAAATTATTGTCCTACAATTGTGGCAGAAATTAATGTCCTACAATAGTGGCAGAAACTAGTGTCCTACAATTGTGGCAGAAACTAGTGTCCTACAATTGTGGCAGAAATTAATGTCCTACAATTGTGGCAGAAATTAATGTCCTATAATGGTGGCAGAAATTAATGCCAAATCTCAAAGGGGTGAAAGTGATGTATGACCACAACCTGAAGGAAAACAAATCGAGAGACTCGATACGTTGTTTAAATCCACTTCAAGTCAGCCTGATTTTAGAATTGAATTCGGAAGGTTTAAAATTGGATATTCAAATCCTACACTACCAAAATAAAATCGAAAACATTTAACGGCAGTTTTATCAGTTTCTTTTCTGCAATCGCTTTTATGTTTTACAAAAGCCGACCTGAATCTATTTAACCTTTTTGATGTAAATAAATAAAAGAGTTCATCAGAACGCAACTCGATTGGTTCATACTGAATAGGTCGAATGATGTACGTCATATCCGGTGACGTAAACATATTCTGTCTGACTCTGATCTCGTTCTGAAGAATGGGCGCCGTCCCCGGGGAGTGGTACTCCCTGCCCTGACGTCACAACATAAACTCAATCAATGATCTCCCCTGGGTATACCCCCGAGATAACTTGCATCCATTTTCATCTCCGTGTTGCTTTTCTCGTGTCGTCTTCCGGAATATTTTGTCACGTTTTTATCTCACAATGCCGGCGTTTTCCGGTATCTTTGGTCACGTGGTCATCTCTTCATGCCGGCATCTTCCGGTATCTTTGATCACGTTTTTAACTTCTTATACCGGCATATTCCGGTACCTTCTGTCACATTTTCATCTGACCATACCGGATTTTTCCGGTATCTTTGGCCACGTGTTTATCTCCCTTATGCCGGCATTTTCCGGTATCTTCTCTCAAGTTTTTATATAACCAAGCCGGCATCCCGGTATTTTGGTTGCGTTTTTATCTCATAATGCCGGCGACTTTTTATATCACACGATGCCGGAATTTTCCGGCATCTTTAGTAACGTTTTTCTCACGTTACGCCGGCATTTTTATGTATTTTTCGTAGTTTTTATCGCGTCATGTAAGGGTTTCCTTCGTAATGATTTTTACCCGTCACTCTGTCAACTGCCGGTTTCTTCGGTAATTTTTTTATCTCGTCATGCCGGCATTTTCCGGTATCTTGAGGAACATTAAATCTAGTCAGTCCGTCATGTAATGGTTTCCTTACAAACGTCACGCTTGTAATTATATTTTATCCTCAATGTTAGAATCGATAAGCTCACGTCAATTTTGCAACTTCTTAATTGAAATATTTTCCTGAATTATTAGTGATGAACAGGGGAATTGAGATTTATTTAGATTGAAATTAATCCGTTAATTAATTTTAATAAGCAGGTGAATGGTGCTCAGTTAGGTAGGACGAACATTACAAAATTTTTAATCCGTTTTATGCAAATTATTTATCCATAATTCTGACGTGTATTTTCTCTCCAATACAGCAAGTATAAATGTTTTCCTCTAATACAGCTATTATAAATCTGTTTTCCTCTAATACAGCTATTATAAATCTGTTTTCCTCTAATACAGCTATTATAAATCTGTTTTCCTCTAATACAGCTATTATAAATCTGTTTTCCTCTAATACAGCTATTATAAATCTGTTTTCCTCTAATACAGCTATTATAAATCTGTTTTCCTCTAATACAGCTATTATAAATCTGTTTTCCTCTAATACAGCTATTATAAATCTGTTTTCCTCCAATACAGCTATTATAAATCTGTTTTCCTCTAATACAGCTATTATAAATCTGTTTTCCTCTAATACAGCTATTATAAATCTGTTTTCCTCTAATACAGCTATTATAAATCTGTTTTCCTCTAATACAGCTATTATAAATCTGTTTTCCTCTAATACAGCTATTATAAATCTGTTTTCCTCTAATACAGCTATTATAAATCTGTTTTCCTCTAATACAGCTATTATAAATCTGTTTTCCTCTAATACAGCTATTATAAATTTGTTTTCCTCTAATACAACAATTATAAATCTGTTTTCCTCTAATAC